CCTTTGCCTCCAGAAACCGCTGGAAATGCTCCTTGTTCAAGAGGAGGCCGAGGTTTAGAGCTCCCAGTTGATAGACTGTCCAGGCAGCCCGAGTTTCCGCCTGTACTGACAGAACATGTCGAGGAATGTGTTGGCGGCAGCGTAGTTTGTTTGTGATGCGTTTCCAAGAAAAGCTGAGATGGAGGAGTAACACACAAAGTAATCCAACTGACAGTTCTGTGTTGCGTTGTGCAAATTCAGTGCACCATTTACTTTTGGTTTGAGAACCTTCTCATAAAGCGACCTGTCAAGGGTCTCAATTAGCCCATCATGCAAGACGACAGCACTGTGAAACACTCCTCTGACTGGACAACCAGGGAATTTCTGGCCGATGACACTGATAACCTTGTGCACATGCTCAGACACAGATATGTCACACTCCATGGTAGTGATGCAGTTTCCACACTGTTTCTCCACATTGTGTATCTCTTGCTGCACATCTGGTGTAGGCTTGCTCCTGGAGAGTATAACGATGTACTCTCCCCCTCTTTGCGAAATGAACTTGACAGTTTCGAAGCCCAGACCAGAAAGACCACCCGCCACTATGTACACTGCTCGCTTTCGGAAAAGCAGCTTTTTTATTGGAAGTACTGGAATGTCAGACAGCATAGTTTTGGCATCTTTTCCCAGAGCCACAACGCCCAGTTTCTTTGAGTTGAAGTATGATTGGGATTTTTCTGAATTGAGGCTCTTGATGCTTTCAGATTTCACACTCTGAAAGGTAAAGCTTTCAAGACCAAATTTCCTGCTAAAGCTCATTGACTTCAGCCAGTGATAAATGCGTGGCCTTTGTGCACTCAAGGATCCCTTTTGCAAAATGGCTGGCATCTGAATTATCTGCACGTGAACACTTTCCCTTATACTTTGGAACACACCCTGAGCAAGGGAACACTGCATCTGAGATTCGCAGATGAAGACAACATGTTGGACACCTGGAAAGTTGCAAATTTTAAGAATCAGAGATTCATTAAATGGAGGCAGCACAACAAATGCATCCATTTGATTGACATCCACAAAAGAGCCATTGCACTGTGTGCCAACAATGACATTCCAACCTGACTTGTAAGAAGTGATTGCCAAGACTTTCAACAGAGCAGAATCAGGCACAGAAGATATGATTCCTAGATTATGTTTGGCTCTGGGCAAAGCTCGATGCAGGATCTCCCATGCTAGCACAAAATAGGAAACACAGGGTGTTTTTCGAAGAAATGGGAACCGCTTAGTGCTGTAGCATACATCCTCTGGAACTCTGACCTTGCTGGCCGCCACCACAGGATAACAGGAAGCAACATGGTCTCCCACTTTCAATTTCCTGACATCTTTTCCGACGGCTGTAATGGTACCACTGAAATCAAGAGCCAGTAGCTTGTGGTTCTGTGATGAGTGTTTGTTCCAGTACAGTGTCTGGCCAAATTTCAGATGCGAAGCACTGACAGGGAAGTAATCAGATGAATGAACACATATCTTAGTGGGCCGAATTTCAACTGCTGTATCACCGATTGGCTGGGCCTCCTCCTCAAAGTGGATGGCACTCAGTTGAGTCATCTTATGTGCGTCGGTGGTCTGAAGGATACAGGGTTCAGATATTGTAGAGGTGAAACTGCACTCTGAACTGTCAATGGCTTCTGGTGGAGTGCGCACAATGGAAGGTTTCAGAATCAGCCCATCTTTTACCACCAACTCTGGGTACTTGCTACAAGGACATGATCTTAGGACCTCAGACAGAGCTGCAATGTCCCTAGCAGAGATTGTGCTTATATCAATCAGCTGAAATGAAAGATCTGGTATCTCTGCAGCAAATGATCTTGTCATGCCAGCGAGAGCAAAACCTGGACTTATGTGGTCCAGAGTGATGTCAGATGAACAGTAGGTGACTGCCCGGATGGAGTGTGGGAAGCTAATTCGCTTTAGCTCAAGGACTATTTGGCGGAAAATCTCACAGCAGCTCGCCAAGTGCTGCAGGACAACATCAGCTGCCAGTGAAGTGAGGTTTTCTTTGCCCCACAAAAACAAGACCTCATCAAAGTTTTTCTCAATATCTGTTATATTGAGATTTGCCAAGAGAGAGGGAAACCCATGACTCAAGATATATTTAGCATGTTTGAAGGATACATATCTAGACTTCACGTCCAAATATTGCTGAAGGCCTTTAGAGATCCCTATATGGTCACAGAAGACCAAGGCCTTAGGCGGAAGAGCCGATGTGAGGCCTTCAGGGATGACACTAAAGGCATTGTGGTAGAAGTACTCTTCCACCACATGAGAGCGACTGCCAAGGTACTTGATGATCACATGCTTAACCTCAACCAACACTCTTCCTTCTTTATCTGCAAAACAGCCACAAACCTCAATGTGATCAAGGCCCACATCAATTGCTCTAAGGTAGATAATCATCTCATCTTGCAAGGGTTCAAACACTGTCAGACTTCCTATTTTGGCAGGAAATCCTGGCCTACCAGCAAAAATGTGCTTCACTGTAACTGGGAGAAGCTGCATCAGAAAATCTAGCACAACAGGATGAATACAGTAGTCGTGCAACTGAGACCGCAGTTGTTCTGGAACTGTGACAACTACAAAAGCCTCCTTGAGATCTTCTCCATAATGCACATCCCCCTTATTCTGGAAAACATCTCCATACTGAAAGCCTCCTTGAGAGAGATACCCATAGAACGCCTGAGAGCTAACTACAGATTTGCATCTTTTGTAGATGGAGCTTAGTGAAATGCACTGCTCCTCAGTCAGCCTCTCTTTCTTTGAAACCACTGTGCCTGATGCATACAATGCAGATGCTGAGAGTACCATGAAACCAGTTTCTTTCTCTTTTTGTTCTAGTTGCACCTTCATTTCAGGGGAATTCTGGGTTAAAACAAATGGACTGTGAAAACTGACACTGAGCTGTAGTGAGCTGAGCGGTACTTTTGGTTTACCACTGGCCATGAATGCGGCTAAGCCCAACTCAGCATAGAAGGCACCAGGGATGATGGGTATATCATTATGCTTGTGCTCTTTCAAGTAGAAAGATGAGTCAGACTTCAGATCACAGCTGAAAACGTTGCTTTCGCTTCCTGTCTGACAGAGAACAGGATGATTACTTGCTGTTCTTTTCTGTGCTGCCCCAATGATGACATCTCTGTATGAGCAATCAAACTGGTATTTCAAAATAGGCACTGGAACTGTCTCATATCCTATGTAGAAGGTGCTCCAATTTACATGGACACCCAGTTCAAACAGCTTAGAAACAACAGAAATGATTGTTTCATGATCTTTCTCTGGCTGCACAGATGCAAGAACAGCTGTGTCATCACCCAGAGATTCCATGATATTTCTCTGTAGTGCCCGTCTTGGCCCTATCTCCACAAAGACTGTGTTCTTCTTTCCTTTAGTTGCTGACCTCACTGCCTGCTCAAAGGCTACTGGCTCACGAATGTTTCTAGCCCAGTATTCCCCTGTGCAGAAATCACCCTGCTGGACTTCCTTGCCCGTCACTGTTGAGAACAACTCTGTGTCAAGACCATTCACCTGCAAGGAGCCAATTGTCTCCTTAATTTCTGGCACAATTGGGTCCATCATGTGGCTGTGATAAGCAGCAGAGACATCCAGTACACGAACGAACAGATTTTGACTGTTGGCTGAGGTGCTTAGCTCCTTATGGAGGCTCTCAATTGCATCTGCCTCACCTGAGAGGGTGCAGGACTGAGGGCTGTTGAAAGCAGCAAGGCAAATTCTTCCAGAGTAACGATGGAGAAGAGCAGTTACCTCTGATACAGCCATGTTGCTGATCACAAGCATCTTTCCCCCAGTGACTTTTCTCTGGAGAATGCTGCGTAAATAGACGACTTTTACTGCATCCTCAAGAGACAAGAGGCCAGAACAGTGAGCAGCTGCAACCTCCCCAACAGAGTGCCCAAGGATTGCATCAGGCTTGACACCCCAGTGTCTGAATAGGGTGGTAATGCCAACTTGGATAGCAAAGAGGAGTGGTTGGACAACATCTGGGTTTTTGAAGTCACTATCCTCAAACTCACTCTCAAGGGTGTCCAAGATATTGAGCGTACTCAGTCTTTGGAAAAGTTGTGCAATCTCTTTGATCTTATCCCTGAACACAGGCTCGTGTTTAAGTAGCTGTTTGCACATGCCATGGTAAGTGACGCCATTTCCACAAAAGACAAACACTAACCTTGGATCTGAGTAGGACGGGCTAATCTTTTTGGCTACAGTGGCACTTAACTTCTCTTTAAGATCGACTAAAGAAGAAACCACAATGGCCTTTCTGTATTTATGTTTCAGATGGCTCCTCCTACAAGCTGATGTGTACAACAGAGAATCTAGATTAACATTGCCATCTGTTTCTAGTTCTTTAAGGGTGTCTTCCATCATCAGAGTAAGAGATTTTGGTGAATTTGCAGACATGACAAAATACTTTGCCTGTTTCCCATCAGTCTTTCGCTCATTGTGTGACTGTATGTGCTGTTTGACAATGGCATGTGCATTTGTACCCCCAAAGCCAAAGTTGTTCACTCCTGCAATTCTTACACCAGAGGCTTCCCACTTTTCTGCTTGGATAGGAACTTTAATGTTCAGGGCTTTGGCATCTACACTAGCAGAATCTTGAGAGTAGAAAACTGAGGGAACAATGGTCTCATGCTTCATCATTAGGAGAACCTTAATGAGTCCGGCCACTCCAGCTGCAGATTCTGTATGTCCAATGTTGCCCTTCACAGAGCCAATCCGCAGTGTCTCTGAACCAGGAGGTTTGGCTTTTGCAATGACATTTGAGATGCTTCCCGCCTCTGTTGAGTCTCCAACTGGGGTTCCAGTCCCATGTGCCTCTATGTACTGGACATTTGCGAGGTCAGACTCTGAGTAGATTCTGCGCAGGAGCTCCTCTTGTTGTGTCATGGAGGGTTTGGTGATTGGAGTGACTGAGTGACCATCTTGGTTGACTGCTGTTTTGCTGATGATACCCCAGATATGGTCATGGTCTTGTATAGCCTGTAAAGTGAGAATAAGACTAAAATTAAACAAGAATGAGAGTATAATTTGCGTCAATGACTTGGGACTGAAAATTGTGATATTTAGTCCCAGTCCAAATTATGTAAAAAAAACAACATTTAGACTTGTAAAGCATCACTGGAGAGAAACAGGGCTACCGACAACTATGAAGTTGCTGACTAATAAAACGTTAATGGGTACTGTTCAAACAGTTTAATGTTTAACAGAAGCAATTAGTTTCGTTTTAGTAAATCAATTAGTTATTAATTCATAGTGGTCTAATATCTGATTTGGTCCGATGTTAATAAAAATTAAAAAGTGAAATTGGGAAACTTTTGTTATTCCACATAGTCTAACCTTTTTCAGAGGCTTCAGGAGAACAACGCCACAGCCCTCCCCTCTACCATAACCATCTGCTCTGTTGGAAAAAGGTTTGCTGGTCCCTTCAGGTGAGATCATCATGGCCTTGCTGAGAGCAACAAACACTCTTGGCTCTAGGATACAGTTGACACCTCCACAAACAGCCATGTCACAATCACCTGACAAGATAAAACATATTTTACATCTCTATATCTCACACAGTAGTTTTCTGAATGCCATTTTAACATGTAATTTAAAGCACTATGGTGGGGCATGGTTTTACATCAGAGTTATTTCACAGGATGCTGTCAGTGACTTTAATTAGACATACTATACAGACCTTGTTTAATTGATTGACAGGCCAGATGAAGAGCCACGAGAGATGATGAGCAGGCACAGTCAATGGACAGTGAGGGGCCAGTGAAGTTGAAAATGTAGGAGACTCTGTTTGCTGCAATACTCATGGCCAGCCCTGTGCCAGTCCAGTGGTTGATCACCCTTGGGTGCACGTTTGCAGCATTTGTCTCATAGTCTCTGTTCATCATGCCTATAATAAAAGAATAATAAAAAAGGTTATTCAGATAGTTAGTTATTTCAAATTAGTTTAACCCAGATGGAAGTTTAAATTGTAAGTAAGAATTTGATCCAGCAGAAAGTACTTGCTAGTCAACACATATTTACTGACTTACCAAAAAACACTCCTGTCCGGGTCCCACTGGCCTTCTCCATAGGAATTCCAGCATTCTCTAAAGCCCTGTAGACACACTGAAGGAGCTGTTTTTGTTGAGGGTCCATTTGTTCCACTTCACTGTCACTGATGCCGAAAAACTTGTGGTCAAATTCATTGAACCTGAAAGCATTCAAAACCATTACATCAAATTTGGAGACTTTCATAATCATAATAATAAAGTAATTAATAATTAAATTAATATAATACTTTAATTGTCTTGAAAATCAGATGTGCTTATCACAGCAGCTTACTTCTGTTGCTGGTTGAACACAGGCAATGTGAGAGGATACATCAATATTTTTATCCATCTATATTATTTGACACCAACAGACAAGACTTTTCCAAAGTCTCAAAAATCCAGTTTAAAGAAAACAATCTAACACTAAGGACTACAAAGAAATGGACACATGTGCCTATATGTAAGTAAGCCTATCAAAATCTGTCTAATAATAAGGTTTAAACCATACCCGTCAATCAGAGCAGCCTTGGCTGTGCGGGATTTACCAGGTTTGTTGTCATCAGGGTCATACCAGCTGACTAAGTCAAATCTTTCTTTGGGAATTGGCGCAGAACAATTTCTCCCATCCACCAGAACTTTCCAGAAGTTGTTAATCCCTTCTCCTGTTTGGAAAGATAAAGAAAATATATAAAATAGACAGATAGAAACAAATTATTGCGTGCGTGACTCCCCTGATTGGCAAGACAAAGTTGTAGTGAAAAGGGTAGAAATCACTTTATGGAATGACATTTTTTAGAATTACCAGAGATTAATTTGACCAACCCTGGGGGAGGTTGTATGTCTCAAGTGAACACACTTTAATCTGTTAGTTTTAGATCTTAACTAATAATGTTGAAATGATGCAGTTTGTCTTTTTTTGTAGTATTTGTTATACAGTGTTCTATAACTACATTCAGAGATATTGTCCATTTATCTCAATGCACATTGTGAGACACAGAGAGAATCTGTAAATGGCAAATTTGTTAAAATGAATAGAAAAACAAACATGAAAAAACAAACAAAACACAACAAAATCAAGTTTTCAGACTCAAATGGCTTACCCCCTGGAAAATTGCATCCAATGCCTACCACTGCAATACTGTCTTCATCCATTCTGGCTGAACATCGTTGGGAAAGAAAAATCAAATATCTTTACTGCTCCGTCATGCCAACATCACTCTTTTTTCCAGGCAACATCCCATGCAGAAATAAATGGGTTTAGCATTCTTTAAACTGTGTAATTAATCCAGTTTTGTCATGCACCAGTGCATCCTTACATCCATACCGTTGCCTTTTCCCTCAGCGATGGTATCACTGCAGGACCTGCTGTTGATTCTTATAGCCAGCTTCTTTTCTTTATTAAATATTAATGATTTATTGTATACGTAGCCATGGTGATGAAGGACTTCAGTGCACACATTTATGGCGCCTTGGAAATGATTAGACTAAGTTTAATGGGTACATGAATAGGTTGTTAAACAATGGGGCGGCTCTAGGTCTTGTTTCATTCAAGCTCATCACAGTTATGCCATAAATAACAATCAACCAATTGATCAAGGAAATCAAGTTTAAGATCTTCTTATGGTTAACATTTTTTAAATTAACCACACAACTTTATTAATCTGAAAATAATAATTTACCACACAATGCTTTATACTACACAAACGTGTTGTATGTTAAAAAAGAGTGTTCCATTAGCTTTATGTTTTGATCACATACGTTAAGATGAAAGTAGATGTTGAAAGATGCGCTTTAAACAAACTCTCAACAAAGCAGCGATAATGACTATAACTAACAATGTGTGCAACGTTATCTTTGGGCACATTATGCAAAGACTGACTGAGAGCTTCAAGTGCTTTTACAGAACATTATGATGTCCCAGTGAAGTTGACCTTTTGGATATAAAATATTCACTTCATAATTTTTTCCTATTAGACATTTCTGTGAAATGAATTAGTGTATGAATTCTTCCAAAAATGGGCGATCACAGTGACTTGACCTTTGATCACCAAATAGAGCTGAACAATTAATCAATCAACAATGATCATTCTCTCCGATATTGCAAATCTTATCGCAATAATCAGTCAAAATAATCACAATTTGATTTTTTTATATGATTCAGCCCTACCACCAAATTCTAATCAGGTCATCCTTGAGTCCAAGTGGACGTTTGTGCCAAATTTGAAGAAATTCCCTCAATGCGTTCCAAACACCTCACTTTCGTGAGAATGGGGACAGAAATTATGTAAACATAATGAAATTATGGGATAGATAACTGCTCTGGCTGGCTCTTTGTTTTACTGCCGTTATCAATCTACTGCAGTCACACAGAGATTGATACAGTGGTATCAAAGTTATAAACTGTGGTTGTCTTTATTACCCTTTGTTAAAAAGGTGATAGAGGTCAGACAAGGGTGAGAGTGTTCTATAAAAATAAAATAATCATAATCAGAAAGATTTATTGACTTTTTCAGGAAGTTAATATAACAGAACCAAATGGGTAAAGGCATTTATGTAACAACTCATAAACTATTATATCACATAGATAGAAAAAAACAAAACAAAACAAAAGGACGTAACATTGTGTTTAATGTCAGAATATACATGCAGAGAAAAGGCATTGAGAGATGTAGACAACCCTGTAGTCTGAACACTACAAAGTTATAAAAAATGGATAGAAAAGTATTCAGGTTTTTGGTATCGTAAACTTTGCACTAATTCCATACAGTATTTAGTATTTTTTTTTTACTAAGAAATAATGCTATGTTGTGCGGATACTGTATGCATGCAAGTATGTTAGTATGTAAAGCAAATCCATACAATATCATTTTAGGATAAGAATATAATTTTTTTGGCATTGGTATTAGTGAAACAAGACATAGTGCATCAATTAGTAGAAAAACACAACAGACTTTATTTTAAATCCAGGTTGCCTCATTCCCACGTTATCGACAGCAGCTGACAGCTCAACTCCCACAACTTCTGCGCCACGTCGTCATCTTTACCGGCTGCTGAGCAGTTGGCAGGAGCACAATCGCTGTAAGCAAAGACATATAAGGTGAGCAACTTAAAACGAGATGAATCAGCTCTTTCATACATTCAGTGTGGTCGTGAATGATTCAGAGCTCAATGAGTTTAAGGTTTAGTTCCTGTCTATATGCCATCAGAAGATTTGTGCCATTTTGACTGAGAAGTGATTATTTCATGCGACCACTTGAGCTTAATCTATTCAGTAAATAATAACTGTCTTGTAAACATACAAGCCAACTATTGTCAGTCTTTCATTTGTTAACATTAACAGTGCCTGCTTTTTTTTGGTATGCTAGGTTGCTAACAAAGGCTTGAAGCATTTATTTCACAGCCTGTGACAGGCTCAAATGAGGCAATTCATGGTTATATAAGAATTGCCCATACGTCAATAAATATTTTACAAGTACCCCTCTTCAAAATGGTTTGGTTGCTATATTGTAAATTAGGCCACTGGTTCCTAATCTAGGGTCGGCATACAGCCAAGGGGTTAAGGGTTGCAAGATGATTAACGCAACATTTTTTTAAGTTTCAGGCTTCTAAACATTATTCAGAGAAGGAAAAATCTCCCTCGAGCCAGCTGGTTACAACTCCTAAACTGTGATAAGAGGCTGTAAAAATTTTTCCACTGTTTCAAACCATATTAAGCTATTACATGTTATCTTCTAGTCCTCCACAATGGCATCAGTTGCTGTTGATATAAAATGTATAAGCTGCATGTAAAAACAAAGTGCACCTGTAGTATCCACCGCTCTCTTTCTCCAGTGACGGTTCCACAGCGCAGTAAATGGTCGTCTGAGCTCCCTGGACAGAGTTTTTGGTGAATGGACTGGCGATCTTCATGAGAACCTGTTGAGAGCCACTCAGATGACGCCACAAATCTGTCTGGACGACTCCAGGGTGGAGGGAATATGTTGTCACACCCGTGCCTGTAAGACAAGTCAATACTTGATTACTGCTACCGTACATGAAGAAACTGCATATGAATAAGTACTCTCCCACATTATTTGACCATCCTCTGTTTAAATCAAATACAGGATGCTCTTAAAATGCTTAAAATGACAAACATAAGGGTATAATGCACACCTTCCAGTCTCTTAGCCAATGAACGGGTGAAGAGGATATTGGCTAGCTTGCTCTGAGAGTAGGCTCCGTTCTTGTTGTAACTCTTCTCGCTGTTGAGGTCCTCCAGATTGATGGAGCCCCAGGAATGAGCCATGGAAGACACTGTGATAATCCTGGCTGGTGCCGATCTCTTAATCAGGTCAATCAACAAATGTGTCAACAGGAAGTGACCTGGAGAACAAGGAAATATGACTCTCACATAGACCTGCAACGATTCGTTGTCAGCTATTAAATTAATCTGCAACTATTTTGATAATCGACTAAATCGGTTTGACTCATTATTTAGGAAAAAAAAAGGTCACTTAACTCTGATTCCAGCTTCTAAAATATTAATATTTTCTAGTTTCTTTACTCCTTTCTGAAAAATTAATATCTTTGGGTTGACAAGACAATAAAAGATGTCATCTTGGGCTTTTTGAAACACTGATCAACATTTTTCACCATTTTATGGACCAAACAAGTAATCAAAAAAAATAAATCGACAGATTAATTAACAATGAACTTCTTAGTTGCAGCCCTTTTCTCATATTCAAATTCAGAGTTTAGTAAAGCAGAATAAGGATAATGTATCGCACGTCATGAGTAATATTTAAGAAAAATGATTTTTGAAGCTTGATAACGACTGCTTAATATTCCAAACCTGGTAAAAGGCTTTTATCTCCAGAATCTACACTAGTGGTTCCAAAAGAGGGGTCCCCAGGGGTCCCTGAGGGGGTTCCAGGGGGTCCCCAGCAAAAACGGGAATTCTTTATTTTCACTATATTTCCATCCATAAGTAACAGAACATATTATTTTGGTCAGATTAGCGATCCTGGGACAAAATCTTTTCAAATGGGGGTTCATGGTCCAATTCGTGTCAGTTTAGGGGTCCTTGACATGAAAAACTTTGAGAACCACTTATCTACACTACATCAAACAGATGCTCTAAACATGTCAAACGTCTGACAAAAAGGATTTTAATCACATTTATGATCTACAATAGACATAGCTGTTGTGTACCTTCAATATTCCCGCCACAATTATACAGCAATTACAAAAAAAAAAAATCAATTACGATAACATGTCATTATTATATTTTTGACAAAATGTACTGAAACTTGTAGCAGGTTATATAATGTTCTCTTATGCTTCATTTGCTGTCTGTGTGTTGTTGATATATACACTCGGTTCAGTTTATTAGGTACACTTATGTCATTGAGATGTGAAAACACTGGAAACTGTCATTAAGGTATAAGCCCACAGGACTGCTTATTAAGAAACATGGAAAAAAATATAATGATGGACCAAAGTTTAGGATTTTTTGTTGCAAAGGTTATGTCCATTTCTAATAAGAATTCCTCAGTTATATCAAGTCTTTCTTATAATTGCAATGTTTTCCTACCTACAGAATAATAAAAAACAACAGCACTCGGACTGGCAGTGTGAGAGACTTATATATATATAAAAAAAAAAAAAGTATCCATATTGTCTGTATGTTGATCAAAAAGATCAATAATCACATCCACAACAAGCCACTTGAATTTTTAGCGACCAAATTTAAAGACAGGAAAGGTATTATTGTCTTTAAAACTATTAACCTTGGCAGGGACGAATGTTCTGATGGCAGGGTGATAAAACTCGATGTTACCTAAGAACTATTATCCTTATCAGACATCAGCGCAACAAGTTTTAATAATAATCAACACCAATTAATATTAACAGCAAAAGGATATTACAGCTAAATAGTAAGAGTATAATAGAGGGCTGTATACAGGTGAGCGTGAAAAGTAAAATCCACTTTAAAGTTATCTTGGTGAAGTCTGTGTGAAATTCTGTGAATCAATACATCAGTGATATATTATTTGCTTCTACCATTTCCAAAATGTTACAGTGATACAAAAAAAAAGGTACTGTTGCATTCAATCACATCTAGACGAGTCACCCTACTGCAGGGAGGAAAACGTCTGGCACCCAGTGGACATTACATGGAGGTAAAACGGTTTTGAATGCCTTGACAACTTCCACTTCGAGACATGCCTGGTACAAGGGTGCGTAAACTAAACGCAAACCTTGGAGCTACAGTAAGTCAGTTCAGCACGAGAAAAAAATTTGTATGTAGTGTAACTATCCTCTGATACAATATATGGAGGTAAATCATTGTCACTGTCATTGTAAATGCACAGACTATGAGTCACAAATATATATTACAATTTGTTGACACATTTTTGTACTTGAAATCCAGAATTTGAATGAATATAAAAGTTATTTGTCTGTAATATATTTGTGACTCATAGTTTGTGCATTTCCAATGATATTGGCAATTTCCCGCTTTACAATCAGCTCTGCTTATAAAATCAGTATTAAGAGGTTCATTTAAAAAAGATTTTTAAATTAGACACCATATTACTA